GCAAATTGTTTCGGCGCACTTTGCCGATTCGCATTTTTTTGCAATTATACTACGCTTGTGCCAGTTCGGCCTCATGCCAATGTTTTGAAATTCTTTTGGCGCCTTTGTCATTTCGCACATATACGCACTGAAACACATATACACTGATAAGAATTGAACTTTTTATGCTTCCCGTGATGCTTCCCGTGAAATCTTGTTTATTTTCTTTGTTAGTTCAGAAAGCTGTAACAAGTAAGTCCATCATATAAGTTTAACGCAATGACTTTCTAAACTTTTATGGTTGTTTGAAAATTTCAAAATTATTTTATTCAATTTTAGATTAGTTTTAAAGTTCATCGGTAGATTTCAAATTTCTTTAAAATATCTCGATCGGTGTAAAAATCTAAATTTTATTATGCTTTGGCACTTATCACCCACAAATGGTCTATTTTTAAAACTCGACATTTTTTGAGCAATTTTTTAAATAAATATCTTACTTATTTAAACCTCATCATGTTTAAAAACAAGCTAAAACCTCCATACAAATCATTTTAAAATCTGAAAAAAAGTCTTACCCGCAATCTCGCGACTCGATAAGTTCAAAGTCAATGATTTATACCTTTTTTTTTTTATATAGATTTAAAAACATAATTGTTTATTTGTTCTTCTCTTAGGCAAAGGAGAATCATCGATACTACTTTGATCTTTTGAATTCCCACAAACATTACGACAAATTAAGGGATAGAAAAATGTGTTTTAATTCTGTTCTCATTACAACCAACATCACTTTTACTTGGGTTTTTGCGTCCTTACATACAGCACGTTGATGACCAAAATAATTTTCTAAATCATCTAGGCAAAATCTTTTATTTTTTATTTGAGAAAATCGTCCTGGTCTTTCTTAAACAGATTGTTTCCATAAATTAAAATAATCTATAGGCGAATCGAGCTATAAAAAGCGAGTATCATCAAAAAAATCATAGAATTTCAAAGGTTTTTTTAAAATATTGTGCTCTTTTAGTGTTTCTAATAGTTAAACAACCGATAATTTTGCCCATCAATAAAATAAACTTTGCAGTACCAGCTGAAACAGCATCTCCAAATGTCTTCATAACAGTCGAAACTGTATCACTAAGAAGTTGTGCATCTAGAAAAATTTTCATCAGTGAATAAGATTTTAAATTGATATGATCAGATGTCTATTTTAAGCATTTGCAGATCTTCATAATAAATTTTTATATTCTCAAGAATATTTACGGCATTTCGAGATAATGAAAAAATTTGATAAGCTGTTGCACCAGTTTTGTAGCAAATGTAGCAAAACTCCGTGATTATTAATTTATGCACTAGTATTTTTGGCGAAAAGTTAACAAAACTTTTCGCCAAAAATACTAGTGCATAAATTTCAAGCTCAGTTAACTTTGTAATGTACAAAAGTTTACAGAAATATCACTAAGATCTACATAACAAATGATTTTACCAGAATTTTCCACAATGTTTCCACAGGTTACATCAATAGTTGACTGTTTTAAAGTGTTTATTAAGTCACCTGCTTTTTTGTTAACAAGAGCACAATAATATATAAGTTATAAAAAACATTGCACATTGAAGATTTTTATTTCCTGTACACCACTTGGTGCCATTAAATTTTTATCTAAATATTGAGGTCGTCATGCGTCCGACATTCAAATTGTAAAAGAATCAAACTTTACATCATCAAATACCACTACCCTTAAAGTCATGTTTTTGCTGATCGTAGTTTTACATTGAAAGATGATGCTGCTTATTCCGGTTCAGAACTTTTGGTTCCTTCATTCGCTAAGAACAAATGCTAGCTATCAAATGATAAAGTTGAATCTACAAGAAAAATTGCATCTGTTAGGATTCATTTAGAAAGAATTATAAGATTAGTAAAAAATTCGTTATAAAATTCTAAAATGAATCTTCCCAGAGCGTCGAATCTTACAAATTTTAATAAGATTTCCTTTTAAGATTCTTAGTAAGATTAGTAACGCTTGCAAGAAGTTTAAGAAAACTAGTAAGATCTTATTAAAATTTGAAAATTTTCGTGCGATTTTTCGTGCAGTTTCTTATTAAGAGTTGTAAGAAATGTAAGATCTTAATAAGATTAGTAAGATTTTTAAGTTATTAAACGAGTTCTGAGGATAATTTGTAAGATCTTTTGATATTGATTTGTATTTATTCCGATCATACTGTTAAATGTTATTATTGTTAAATAATATTTTATACAAGAAGTCACTTATGCAAGACTATTCTATACCGCGTAGACATTCTAAATGAAAAAATTGTCTTTTAAAACCTTAAAAAGGGAAGATATTAACGACGAACCATAATAATACTCATAAAAACTTTTAAATAAACTATTTTCTGGTGCTTACAAATTAAAACACAAATAACGAAAGTCGACTTTTTAATAAGTGATAAAACAAGACAATATAAAACTGCGCACAGTTAAACTGTTCAATTATTTTCAAATCAAAATCTATCTCACTGATATAGTTTACATCTGTGTCATCAGCCTATTCACTAAAGCGTTTTACAATTGCGTCTCACCACTAAAGCATTTTACTATAGCGTTGTGTTTACATAAAATTGTTTAGAGTAACTTTTTATGTTTTTATGTTTTTGGATCCACTAAGTAACACATTAAATTTTCTGTTTCAAAAAATTTTGTGCCAAATTAATGTTTTATGACAGTTTGTTATCAACAATGTTGCATAGATCAACACCCTTCTGAATATATAGTTTAAAAAAGAAAAATTATTGTTTTTATTTTTAATTAACTGTTACCAATTTTAAAATTTTATATATAAATATATAAAATTTTAAAATTATAAATTATTTAAAATTATATATAAATTTAAAAGTTTATATAAATATATATATATATATATATATATATATATATATATATATATATATATGTATATATATATATATGTAAATATATATATATATATACATATATATATATATATATATATATATATATATATATATATATATATATATATATATATATATATATATATATATATATATATATATATATATATAGACAGATAGATATATAGATAGATAAATATATAGATAGATATATAGATAGATATATGCATATTATTTATGAAAGATTAGTCTAAACAACATCGACTTTATTATAAAATTAAAACTAAATTTGTTTGAAATAATTTTGATTTATAAAAATAAAATTAATTATAACTTTAAAAATAGAAGGATATTGAATAGGATAATTAGTCTATTCGTTGAAGTCCAGTATTTTCTTTTTTGAAAAGGTAGATATAAACTTAGACTAGATATGTAATTTTTCTTTGCAAATATTTAAAAAATATTACAAGTAACAAAACTCTCTCAAATAATCTCCGACAACACTTAAAATATTGGCGCAAAATAAACAACCGACGACCAAAAGAGATTGCATTTAATACTAGAATGAAAAGTTGCATACCAACTACAATTTGAACATTGCAATAATAATGGTATTGACAAGCCTTGCTTTTTCAATATGTCGAATGTTAGACTAATAGTCTTTTTTTCACAATCAGGGCATGTAGCTATTAAATTTAAAATTTTTATAAGAATATTGGTAGAAAAAATTAGAAAAAACGAATTATACACAGTTGAGTTTAAAGTATTTACACAGAGTAGCAAATTGGTGTCATTGGTGGGCAAGGGTGATGCAATAGTATTTTGTTTGGTTTTAGTGATTTTAGAATATAGTGGTGTACCTGTTGATAAATATGATAGGGTTATTTTCATTCCAGAAGAAGAAATAGGTGGGTTAGACAAAGGAACCTCAGCTGATTCTTGTTTTTTTGTATGCTGATTACCTTTAAAAGAGCGTCTAGAAAATGCCTTCGAATGGCCAGACTTTCTCTGCAACAAAGCTCTACTCTTTTTTTTATTATTCATTAATATTAACCTTTAGACTCCGCTTAATTTTTCATGTTTGACCACTCAGCGCGCAATGTTTTTTAGCAAAAGTTGTAGTTTTCTTAAAAACAATATATATTCTGTTATCCTTATGTGTAATTCTTGAAGTAAAGTTTTTATAAAAGGTAAATTATTATACTTACATAATTCATAAAGGATAACACCACACTGGACATAGCTTTTATACATCATTCATCTAGAAAACAAAAAAAATGTTAGAAAAAACTCCTTAATGCACTTTTTATCAATATATAGACATAACAAAAAAAACAGGTGGAAATATATATTTATGTAATAAAAATAATATTTTTAGTATCCCATAAGTATATTCAAACAAAATAATAACAATAAAATCAAGTACAACTTTAATTTTTTCCAAATTTTAAAATTATTACACTAATTGTTTTTGCTAAAATTTGAAAAAATTTTCATTAAATAAACAAAATATCTTTATTGAATAGAAATATATGAAAAGACATATCAATAGATTTTAAACCATGACCACTTCAAGATTGTTCACTGTCGCATAACGAACTATCTCTTGATGATGTAATGTCACGTTGTGTGTGATATATTTCAAAACACGGTGTGACACAGAGTGCTACAGCACACATGCGACATTCATAGCTTGTCTCCTTGCGTTTGCCAATCTTTAAGCAACAGACACATTTACTACGCTTCCGACCAAAGGATTGATTTTTTTGAGTAATGAAATGTCTTTCAATAAGTCTTAAAGGGTTGTTGAAATAATTTACTGGTTCTCCGCGTCCAGTTTGAATTGGTGCTTATTTGTTTAGATGATGCATAAGTAAAGTTTTTACAAGTGATTGTCTAAACTTGAGTTGACTGGTGCTGCTTTTATTTAATTTTTTCCAAATGACAAATGAATTATAAATGCAAAAATCAATAAGCAGCTCCTGAATCTTTCTAAACCATTTCAAACCTCTCCGCTGTATGGAATAGGGGATACTAACACGGCTCAAGGTATCTACACCACCCATTGTTTTATTGTATTCTAATACAACATCTGGTTTTATAATGGGACTTTTCTAAGAGAAGTGAACTTTTCCAGTTTCAACTAACTGACCAGTATGTTTTGTTGACATCATTGAAACAATTTTTGTTGATTTGGTTTTGTAGGGATCATTCCATCTCATTATCATAATTTTTTCGGCACAAAACATTTTCAAAACTGGTTGACCTATGCCTTTAGAAGGCTTCCAATTCCAGAAGTCCCTAGGAAGTCCTTTTTTTTGACGCAGTGTGCCTAAACAATCCGTTTGGTTATAAAATAGGGCCATCAAAAGTTCAGGTGAAGTGTATAAATTATCTATCGTTACACAGTAACCTTGTTTGTACAGTCCATCTATTAATGATAATACTACTTTTGAGTAACTTGCATACTCATCAAATGCTTTTGGAAATGTAATGTTACTGGGTGCAGGATAGTCTGTATCTGAACCAGTATATATTATAAAGCTATACAAATAACCAGTCTTACTTTCACAACACATGTATAATTTGATTCCGTAGCGTTCACGCTTAGTTGGGATAAAAACACGGAATTTCAAACGACCTTTCCAAAGGGAAAGATACTCATCTACTGAGATATTTTGCTTAGGAGTATAATGTTCAGAAAAACATTTTAATAAACTTTCTATCAAAGACCTAAGCTTACACAAACTATCATCATGATTTTCATTTCCAGGATCTGTAAAATGCATCATTTTACGAATGGACTCAAATCGATCACGACGCATGAGTCTGGGAAAAATAGGTGTAGAAAATATATGGTCTTTAGTCCAAAACATATGATAATTAGGCTTGTTTACTATTCCCATTAGATATATTATTGCAATGTATACCCAAAGTTCATCAAATGTCAAATCAACCCATAAGTTGAAGCAATTTCTTTTTTTTGTTTCCATTCTTTGCATTATTTCTGGAGTTAATTTAGCAAGCTGGACATACCTATTTGTGTATTGGACAATATTGTTGATAATATCATCTGTTAAAATGTCTTCAGTACTGCAAGTGGACAATCATGCTTCTCAGGAACTTTATTCACTTTATTGATTGCAGAAAATGGAAATTCTCTTTGTTGTCTAGGAATGTCATCCCATATAAAAATATTGCTATTACCATTATCATTATTAGATTGATTGGTCTTACAAAGACGATTTTGCAGTGGTTGCAATTCAGCTATATTACCACCAGTTACTACAATATTGCTGGTGTTGTTATTTTCAACATGAGAAAGATCTAAAGAAACTGCTCCATTTATTCTTGGTTGAATAAATTCGATATTCGAAGCATCCTCTTCTTCCGACGTTTCAGATTCTGATGTAAGTTCTAATGAATCTAAGGTTGTTAAATGCATATTTAAATTGGTTAAGGATTATATATTTATAACATGTATGGCTTTATAATATTTTACTTTGCAATTTTGATACATACTTAAATATTTATGAAACAAGGTCGAGGAGAAATTAAGTAAGTTTTTTGAAAATCAAATCTTAAACTTATTTTATCAATGAAACTCATTTATTTAACAATCCATGTCTAAACAAATAGACTAAAATATTATTACCATCAGTGGAAATTAAAGAATCATCTTTGCAACCATCAATTTCACTGTCATCAAGTTCATCTATAAATTTCTGAATCTCAGATTCAGTTAATCGGCGACTCCTAGATGTCATAGTTATTATACTTTTTTAAGTAAAAATATTGCATAGAACTTTTGATAAAAAAACTTAATGTTTATATTTTTCGGACCGTTGTGGACAAATAGTCCACATGAATAAATAATTCATAACTTAAAGCCAGAAAAGGATTACAGTTAGTAGTTTTTGTGTGTTTTAGTAAAATATCAAGGTATATTTAAAAACGCCAAAAGGCGTACTTCGGGACTAGCGAGAACGCCAAAAGGCGTACTTTGGAACCTAAGGGTTAATTATTACAAAAGAAATAAGTAGCAAATGAAAAACAATTAACTTAATGATAATAAAAATAGCAGAGCTTTGTTATAGTTAACTTAATTATTAACTTAACTATAACAAAGCTCTGCTATTTTTATTGTTTTCAAAATTATTACAACTAAAGTTAACGACGATAAATTCATTAAACAATAATAATAATAATAGATAAAAAAAGTAATTTAAATTAAAAATAATTAACTAAACCAAATAAACAATGATTATATGCATGAACAATTGTTCATTTACTTCCAGCTTCAACCAACTTTTTGACATAAAATTGTTTTAAGTAAAAACCTCATGTAAAACGTTTTTTTCAGTTTAGTGACTTTTTGCATGCAGTTTAAAATTCTGTAAAATACTTTAATGACTTATAATAAACAACACTAGGATTCTAGAATATAAATAAACATACTTTAATAGGTTTTAGTGATTCAAAAGTGGTTGCTAAGGGCGTCGCTATGGAAGTTTGAGTTTTGAGTTTATTAATGCCTATTTTAAAATGAAATTGGATGATACTTTACGCTACAGGGACTAGAAGCTTGAATATATTTTTGCTGCTTGTTTCAAAATAGTTTTATAAAGTCTGTAATATTTTTTTGATTAAAACTAGAATACAATGTTTTAAGGTCTTGGTCAAGTTCTAAATTTACCTTTTCACTATCCACATTTATTATATATTTCATTTGTTCAATTTGACTTTCCAACTGTTTGCGTTTTAAACGTTGTTGTTGCAAACTTAATTTAATTCTTTCTATGGAGGTAAACTTAAGAGGAGCGTTCAGTTTTGCAGGTTGTTTTAAAATTTTATTTTTATTATTTACTTCATAATTAGATTTAAGTTGCAAAGAATGGCATGAAGAACAACAACTTTAGGATTTTATTAAAACATTACAACACGGTGAACGATAAAACTCATCTTGATTTAATCTAGGTTTATTAGGAAGCAGCTTAAAAAGCAAGTAATTAATTTTTTTGGTTATAACATGTTTTTCAAATGTAAAATTTTGGTTAATTAAGTCTAAATTTTTTACTTCAACACCTGGGCAAAGAATAAGAGTTTCAATATGACTTATAAATTTAGATAAAGAAACATTAAAAAAAAATCCTTTATATTGTAGGTACAAAAGATGATCTATTGGTAACATCCAACCAAAAATTCTTATACAATAGTCTAGCAACTCGTCGACATAAATTTCGAGTTTAGGTAATATATGTTCTGGAGAACTACAAATAATAATTGCAAATCTCTCATCGAAAGATATTTTCCATGATTCACTAAAAGAGAGTTTTAAAATACGTTTGGTAAAATCATCAAAAGATTTGTAACGGAACGGTGTAGTTTGAGAAATCAACTCTTGAGTTTCTAAAAACTCCTTACGTTTTGTAATAGATAGCGAACTTCGCTGCGATGGATTACTTTTCTTGGGAAGATTTAGGGTTGGCAATGCTCCATCCTTTAAAATCTTTCGAGATGAGTAAACCCAAAATTGATCTTTAGTAAAGTAAAGCTCACAAATATAAAGATTAAAAGAATCAATTCGTTTTTTAAAGAATCATCGATGAGTCTGTCTCTAGTAACTACGTTAATAAGGTCATTACTCCATTTCTTATTTGCATCATTAGTTGGAGTAGGAACTTTGAAAATGCTGATACCTTTGTGTCTTCTTGAAGTTGAACAACCAAATATTGCACAATTTTCACCAGGCATATCAAGAAAACTAATTTCAATCAAAACACAAATATAACTTAATAAAATAACGAGCAAACGCTAACAACAACAATCTTTTTGTGCAGGTTCGGAAGTCCGGAAACGAGAAAAAACAGAAAGAGTTAAAACAATACGCTATTGTTCGCTTCCAAACTATTCTTTCTTATAACTATGTTTAAACTTATCAATAGAAAGTTTCATCAAAAAAAAATTCAAATAAATTTTTATAAACCAATTCTTCTTTCACTTAGAAAAAAAAATAAAGTTTTCATTCGCATAGAAAATTTTATTTTTGTTACATTTAAAGACATTTATCGTTTTCAGTCTTTTTGACGTATATTAAAAGTTAAAAGTTTAACAACAACTGAAAATTATTTTAATCAACTAAAAAAAAGTTTACAAATTGACAAATTTAATTTTATACACCATAAAAATCACAAATTAAATAAGATAATATAAAGTCTTTATATAATGTAGTGAAACAGCATAAATCTATTTTTTAAATGAAAAATATTTACATAGTTATTTAAAAGAGATATAACCAAAATTTATATATATATATATAAATATATATATATATATATATATTCATATATATATATATATATATATATATATATATATATATATATATATATATATATATATATATATATATATATATATATATATATATATATATATTTATATGTTTATATATATATATATATATATATATATTTATATATATATATATATATATATATATATATATATATATATATATATATATATATATATATATATATATATATATATAATATATATACACATAGTATATGATTTTTTCCATTAACTGGTTGGAAAATATTTTTGAGTTTCAGGCAGATTGAAAGAAGCCATTTACCATAACGATCACAACCTAGCATATCCCAATCACTGCTGTGCGTTTTTTGCAAATGCAAAATGCTTGTCATTTTTTTTGTTTTTCAACAGTTTTAACATCTGTGGTTTCCAACTTCCTTGTCATTAGTTCTGTTAGGATCACATTTTTCCAGAACTTTGTACTTTTGAGGGTCATCTCATTCTCAAAATCAGGATCGCGTCAATTCAATAAAATAAAAAATCAATTAGAGTCCGGACAAAATCACAATAACACATGTCTAATATGAACATTCCATGTTGGTACCTTACTATAATGTGGATGTATTTTTTTCAACATGAAGTCATTATTGCATTTTTTTACATAAACATTTTCATCAACTACCGAAGAAGTCAATCCAATATTATTAAGATTGTAAGGCATTCCACCTCAACAACTCCGTACCCACAGCATGAACAATATTCAACACGATCAGTAGACATACCCAGCCATGGTTTATGAAACCACAAAATCAGAAGTTTTAACTTCAACATCAACTCACTTATGTATGTGTCATCTGAATTGCTATTTACATACTGAGTTAATGCAAATTCTTCATTTTCACGTGCCCAGTTGTATTGCTTTTACAAAAGTTTGGTTTTTTAAGTTTCCTAACCAAAGACTTGGGCTTTATTTTCTATATTCTATTTTCATGTATTTTCAGAAGATGCTTTCAAAACATCTATTTTCAATAAGTGCTTTTAAAACATCGGGCATAACAGACCCAGTTATACAACCACACCTGTGTTTATATCAAGAAATGAAAAACTGATTTCTAGTTTCTACCTCCAGGTTTTTAAATTGCTGTGGTAATTAATAACGAGTTAAAAAGTTTCTTTGCTTTAATTGATAAATTTTCTCTTCTGAGGATAGGAAATACAGACTCCTTAGTGTCTTTGGCAATCTGACTGGCTTATATTATTGAAAAAAGATATAATGCTTTTTTTAAGACTTATTTTTTAAGTTTTATTAACAGTTTAAAAGCTGATTTTACTAAACCATTTTAAATTTATGTGAAATTAAATTATGCAAAGTCAAATGTTTCACTTTAGTTATATTTTTTAAATGTTAAAAGCAGATGTCACTAAAATTAAATTAAAGTAATTATGGATTTTAAAAGATAAATTTTAATGTCATTAACTAGATATTAAATAGTGGCTAAGAAAAGAACTTGTATACTCTTACAGTTAATGTTATGTTTGACCTATGTAATGTAATACTGTGTTTGATCGTGTTTTTTGTTTTGCATCAGCACTCTAAAATACTATCTCTGATATTGGAGCAGGATTAACATCTTTAGTAAAATTTTGATTCCATTTACAAGGGACATCTGTGCAA